CCTTGTGTGAAATCGTATGCAATATAATCATAGAAAATGTAATTTCAATTCATAATCACAGTTGATGATTGATCAAATTTCATCATAACAACATTAATTAACAATTTTGTTGCCCAAAAAAATATAGATTACTAATTAAATTTATCATTTTTTTCCAGATTAATTAAGAGATTCGAAAGAAAGTTTATTTTTTTACTTTGAATATTAAATGTCTAATTTGATTTTTTTTTTCATGGACAATTGAAAATTGCAAATAAATTCAATTGTTCTCATCATCATCATCATCATCAACATTTATTCATTTTGTTTGTTGACCTATCGTCCTTTACATTGAAAATTGTTGATTGTCAACTTGATATTAACAAAATTTGAATGGAACATCCAATACATTCAATATGCAAAATAATGATGATGATAAACAAGAAACAAAACAAAAAAAAATGTAGACGAAAATGAAAATCAAAGTTTGTTCTTAACAAATATTTGTCAAATCGTTTGCAATGAATGTTGTGGGAAATGGTGGGCATTTAACGCGAGGGCTGCATTTATAAAAAATAAAAATAAAATAACGTTAAACACGAAACATTTCATTTCAATTATGTCTATTTTCTTGTTCGAACGAGATTTTTTTTCTCGTTTTTTTTGTATGGCCATATTTCTTTAATTTTTTTTCCCCAGTTGTTCATTGGAAAAATAGAAAATTTTTGGGAAGAAAGAAAAACGACAAAAACGGCAGTAAATTTAATTCACCACACACAAACACACATATATATCTTCTTCGAAAATGAAATATATCAAACAAAATATGAATTTACATTTGAAATATGAAATTTCTGGAGTTGTTTTTTTTTGTTTGGCCTGTTTATTGGTACTGTGTGTACATATGAATACATATGAAAAAAAACATCAAACCAAACAAACCGACCAACCAAAGCCATTTAAATAAATTGACCGACAAATAAATTCATCTGGAACATCCGGAATTATCCGAAACGAATCGAATTATTGAATGAACGAATGAATGGATGAAGAAAATGTCAATTTCTTGTCTTGTCCACAAAAAAAAAATAAATAAATGATGATCCTAATTTAGTAGTTTGTTTTCTTTTTCATCACTTACCATTATTATTTGCCTTTTTCATCTGTTTTGATCGAATTGCTTGATGATGATGACATTTGTGTTGCATCAATTTTATTCCTTACATCAATCAATCAAATAATAATAATAATAATAAAACTGGTGACATTGTTTGTTCATCACCAATACAATACAATCAATCCATGGACATCAAAAAAAAAGTGTTTGTCTATACAATGCATAAAGAGAAAATTGTTATCTCATCATCCTCATAGCAATCGTACCTGATAATGGAATAGAAAAAAATGAAAGAATAGATTCAATCAAGAAAAAGAAACAGGATTGAAACAACAACATGGTCACGTTCTAATTTTTTTTTTCATTTCATTTTGTCCAATAAATTGTGGTTTTAATGTAAATGGTTCAGGATTTTTATTCGGTCCTTTGGTCGGTAAAATGATTTTTGTTTGTTTGTTGATGATTTTACATGCCATTCAGAAGTATAAGAATCAAAAATCATTTCTTAATTTTATTACCCTATCCACTTTAAAAAGAAAAAATTTGATCAAGGACAATTTATCTTGTAATATGATGATGATTTGATGTCATTGTCGTTATCATATATTTATCCATTTCCAAATGAAGAGCTAATATCATGTTCAATGTACTGAAACGACATCAATGACAATTGGGCCTTGTTAAAATAAAAGAAAATAAAATGGAAGGACATATAAATAAACTTTGTGTATTTGGTATGTTTAAAAAAAAAAAAAAAATATAATAATGTCTGTCCAATGTGTATGACAATTTTATATACACAATCATCAACAAAAAAAAATGAAAGATACAGCGTGGCCAGTTCATGGATACACACACATATACGCAATGACAGACAATAAACTTTTATGAAGGACACATTAGGCAAACACGGATATAGTTGCAATGGAGATTCAACCATGATCTCACAATTCATTGACAACATTGGAGCCACAAACATCTATCGTTGCCACACACACACACACACACACACACACACTCCAATCCGAACATTCACATCTTTGTTTTTAATAGCAAAAAAAAACCAAGGATATATAAAGAAAAAATCTTTTTATTTTTACTATAATAACATTAATCTATTACATTATAATACTAGGAAGTGTGATAGTGTCATCATCATCATCATCACCATTATCGATATATATATATTTCAATAGCCAGAAAACTCCCTTGGCTCAAATTATTTTTTTTTTCTATCGTCGTCGTCTGGTTGGAAATTCATTGGAAATGAAAATGAAATAACATTGATACTGAATGTTTGTTTTCACTAGATCATCATCATCATCATCATCATCATCGCTATTCAGTGCCAATGGCACCAATAATAAAAATAAAATTACTAGAACAAAACATAACAACAACATCAACAACAACAAAAAACATTAATCGAATGTCGGAAAATGTTTAGTCTGAAAGAGAAAATAATTTGTTGTTGTTGTTGTTGTTGTGATCACAATCATCATCATATTTAGTTATTATTCTCATTTTGATTAATATTATTGGAAAAAATAATAATTTTTTTTTATGAATAAATGTGATGTCGAGGACGTTTTCATTTAGGACAAATCAATAGTAGACGATCACCAATCAATGACTACTTGTTTATTGGTTAATCCACCGTTGATTTTGTCGTCGTTGTTGTCGTTGTTGTTGTTGTTGTTGTTGAAAATTGGTTAGAATAATTATCATTATATATGAATATATTTGAAAAAAAAATTACCAACCCAGAATTAATGAATGAATGAATCAAAATTTGAATAAATAAATATGACAATCCTATTCATATTTTTACAAATGATGATACACAATTGAATATTTAAATCCAGAATATGAAAAAAAAACTGTATTTTGAATGTTTAAATTGAAATTTTTTTTTTCGTTTCAATAAAATGATGTCATCTCTGATGAATGAAATCAACCAAACGAAAAAAAAAAAATACAGACACAAATAACCATAAAAGGATATTTCATCACCATAACCATCATCATCATCATCATTCATTTAATTCATGGATGGTTGAATTGACTACAAAAACTTGTTGTCCAGAATTCAAAATAATTTTACCTGACGTATCCTTGTGTTTTTTTTTCTATTTCATATTTATTTTGGCGTATCAACATCATACATAGATAAAAAAAAATTTATTATGAATTCAATGACGCCTTGTTTCATTCATTTATGTCAAATGTCAAAATACTATGGTCATGGTCCATGATACAGTGCATCCAATACATTTTTATTCATATATGTATTATAATATAATTCCAGATTCTATAGACCATCATGACAACGATGATGATACAATTGTTTTTTTTTATTCACCATTCATGTTTATCGCCCAAATGATTTATAATTAATATCATCGTCATCATAATCATCATATACTCTGATTGTAACAGTTATTTTTTTCCAAACAAAATTGAATTAGAAGCTTACACTAGAATAGAATTCACACACACACACACACACAGCACAATAGGTCTGTACATAAATAAACCATTGACATAAAATGATAGGCATCAATGACTTTGTCATCATCATCATCTATTTCTCTGTTCATTATCAAACGTAATTAAAAAAAATTCAAACTAATAATAATTCTATTCAATTGTAATTATTCTATTTCAATGATTTTTTTTTTCATTCAAATGAGTTTAAAACAACGAGAAAATATTTTTTTTTTTTTTTAACGCAATATTCATATTTACAACAAACATCATTATGGATGTCGAGACAATTTATATATACCAGATTTTGAACTAGTTTCAATCATTCTCTCTCTCTCTCTCTCTATTTTGTACCCAAACAGAGATAGAGGCGATAGAAAAAAGATATGAACCAAAAGAATAAAAAGCACAATTTTCGTTCATAAATTTGTATATATATGGAAAAATGAATTTGATTTTAGTCATTTTCTTCATTGAAATAAGAACTTAATAATTTTCAATGTTGGCATTAGGTTATTATTATACTAATATCCGATTATGAATCGAAAATGAATGAAATGAAAATATCAATTCTTTTACAAACAATCTTTTGTGTGTGTGTGTGTGTGTGTGCATGACAGATACATCAATCGATATCCAATATATCCGGATATACGAATAGATGGCAAAAGTTAATCTGAAAAAGAAAAATGAAAGAACTAAAAAAAAAAAAAAAAAAAAAAAGCTCTTATGTTTCTGATCAATGAAATTGTAGATGTAGTTGCCTTTTTCTCTATTTATATGTGTACATATATGTCAAATAGTTGTTAATCTTTAAATCTATCGGTTTAAAGTTTGCCATTTTATTTTATTTTTTGATCTCCTAATATAAATCAAACAGAAGAAGAAGAAGAAAAAAACATCATGTACATTGAATCGGTACAGGCGAAGAATTATGACAAGTTTTTTTTCCACTATTCCACTCTTTGACGATTTATATCCGTTGATTGATAGAATTGTGTTTGTGCATATCGCCATTGAGACATTTGTTTGTTTTTTTGATGTTCTCTATTCTTTATAAGTGAATAGAATTTTCTCTATAAATCAAATGATAATATTGTAAATGGCAAATCCACATCAGGGTTGATTAAAAATAAAATTCTTTGTCAATTTTATGGATTTTTTCCATTTATTGATAATAAAGATTTATTAATAATAGATGTCAGCACTAATAGAACTTGATTATTTTGAAAAATATTTCCATAAATTGTCGATAGATGTCGTATTTAATTAATTCTCTGCTCATAATCTGATGACGTATACATTATATCAGATTATTATATTGTCCACACAATTCCAATTGATTAAATTTAAATTATTTTAAATGGACAATAACGTCAACACTTTATCATCAACAAATGAAGAGACATTAAGTCATCATCAATCATTATCAACAGAAACGACGCAAGCACCGATGATGACAAATTATGTTTCATCAATATCATCATCAACTACCACTTATTTGGTTCCCAGTGTTTATCCACCATTTTCGACACAATCACCCCATCAATCGTCAACGACCAATTCGGGAATTGATCCTATTTCATCTTATCAAATACCAACTTATACTCCTCCATCACTCTTAACAAATACAAATACCGAATCGCAATGTTTGGCCAGTCAAAGTAATTTTACTGGAACATATCAATTGCCGCCTACATCATATAATAATCCACCGAATGACGTGATACCCGAACAAACTTCAGCTATACTTCCACCACAATCAAATCCACAGCATCCGATTTATTGTAGCGATGGTATAATCTATCCCGGTGAATTGTCATCTTCAAATTATAATAATGTGATAAATAATGATGACGACGAACAGGATGTTGTATTATCCAATGAATTAGTTGATGTAAGCATTATCATCATTTAATCATTTTCTATTTTAATTGTTATATTTTCATTTCATTTTCCAGGTGTACAATAATCTTGGAATTGTTGGCAAACTTTTAGCCGGTGGTTCTCTTGTGACTATAAGATTTTTGCAAATGTTTCGTAATATTAGCGAAACATTAGTAGATGCATTGGGTATTGCTCGACCAAAATATGAAGAAGAGATTCGTGCATATGAAGAAATGAAACAAGAAGAACAACAAAGACAAGAGGAAATTCGACAATTGTATGCCGGATGGAAACCTAATATGCCACCAGTACCACCTCCGCCACAGATTCCATCAAATTATTTTCCCAATAATCAGCCCTGTATGTCTTCCGATAATATAAGCCCGCCACCAATTTCTCCGCCTATGAATACAATTTCAAATTTTGTTACTGATTCGCAAGCTAATTTGCCAAATCCATAAAAAAATCGCATATATTTTTTTGCAATAAAAGATTGTGAAATTATTTTATTACATTCAAAGACAAACAAATAAACATCCAAATTAGAATAAATAATATTTCGTTGGCTTTTAATCATTCTGGATTGAGAGAGTGAAGAGAAAAAAATATTGCCTACATGGATAAATTCATTCAATGCCTAAAAAACAACACATTCCATGGATTCTCATCCCCATTAAACCATCTGATTATGGACCGATTGAGGTCTTGATTGACTCGAAATTGGCGGCTGATTTGTATAAGTTGCCCCTATTGTTGATGAAGAATATGAATGCTGATTATTTGGATCGATCACAGGTTGTTGTTGTTGTTGTTGTTGCTGCGGCTGCTGACCAGTGTTGTATAATTGTTGTCCATGATGATGATGATGATGATGAGAATTCGAATAAACATCATGTGTAGGCGGTGGTGGCTGCTGTTGTTGAGTATAGCCAGTTGTAGAATAATTAACACTAAATGGATTTGGATTAGGCTGATGTTGTTGTAAAGGCGATCCATATGGATTAGGCTGGGACACATTACATTGAGAAGCTGGTGTGGCTCGTTGCATATCATAATTAATTGAGTTCATATTTGCCGTAGTCAATGGTGTATGTGTCGAACGTTGAGACATTGCTGGCGAATAAGTATTTCGTGTCAAATCCAATTGACTGGAATGAAACGAATGTTGTTGTTGGTAATGGCCACCATAAGAATTTTCAGTGTTATATTGTTGTTGGATATTATGGTTGGATGGTGGCTGTTGATGACCACTGATACTTGATGTCGATCCATAATGTGTTGATTGCTGTGGCTGTTGCTGATGATGGTGAGACATTGGATTGACTTGTGGATATGCCATACTAATATCAGTCGAGGCAACAAGTGGCATGCTCTTGGATGGATCAAATGCAAACGTATTTGATGTATTGGACGATATAGAACTTTGAGCTTGATGAACAACCGGACCTTGAGCCGTCACTGCTGTGGGAGCAGCAGATTGTGAACTCCAATAGGTATTCGAATTAGCTGCAACATTATGTTGTTCATTAAGATCGAAAAGATTTGCCGAAGTAGGTAGAGGTACCCCCTGAATTTGAGGTGGTGGATGGATATTTGAAGCAAATAATGACGAAAATGGAAAAGGTGGTGGTGGTGGGGGAGGCACCGGTAATGAACTATTAAGAACTTCGGGTAATGAGCTAACAGAACTGGCCGTATCGTCTAGATATCCACCAAAAGAAAGATCACCAGGAGGTGGAGATTTTACCGATTGTGATAAAGTTTGTCGCAGAGCGGATGCTTCAGCTTTTGTTTCCTCGAATTTTCGTTCAGCAGCACGTGCAGCTATCCAATTCTCATGTGAATGTTTTTCCAATTGATTCAATTGAGTTTTGTAACGACGTTCAGTTTCTTCTAATTCTTTTTTAATTGATTTCAATCTATCCTTAAGAATGGTGTTTTCTTCTTCTGTAACCGCCAATTTCGATGATAATGATTCAACATCTTCACTTTGTTGTTCTTGTTTGACTTTATGTACGCCAATATCTTTAGCATATTCAAGCTCTTTTTCTTTATAATATTTGGACAGTACTTCCAATTCGGTAACAGCTTTGAATTTTTCTTGTAAAGCATTTTCAGCATTTTGTTTCAATTGTTGATTGATTTCTCTTGTTGATTCTATTTCATCATTAATGTCTTTCATTTGTTTTTGTAAGGCTTCAAATTTTTGTCTAAGTTGTTCTTTTTCCACTTCCATTTGTGTCAAACGAAGTTGCAATTGAACAACATCCTGAAGACAAATTGCATCTTCACCACCGCTAGTTTGTTCATTAGTATTATTATTGACCACATTTTGATCAACACCGTCATCACCATTCACACTACCAATTGCAAGATCACCATTCAAATCAGTCGATCTTCGTTGACGATCGTGTTCTTTGTTTTTTGTCATGTTTTTGTTCAATTTATTCAATAAAGTTTGCATTGAAATAATTTCAGAATTCTTGATTTCAAGTTCCTGCAAGAATGAATCAACTTTTTCATTCGCTGTTTTTCGCTGCTTTTCCAGTGATTTACATTCATTCTCAAAATTTTTGACTTTTTCTTCACATGAAAGTAACTCATCTTTCATGTCTTTTATTTCTTCATTAAGCTTGTGCTGTGATTCTTTGAGATTTGTGTTTTCCGATTGTACAATGGTAAATTGCTGTTCTAATTCTTTAATTGTTTCGTTGAGTTTTTCAATTTCTTCATTTAATGTCACTAATTGATCATTGAGATTGTCAATCTAATAAAATCGATTAATATGTAAATTAAAATGAAAAAAATATGATACATTCATACCTCTTCTTTATCTGAACGAGCTGTTCTTTCCTGTTGTTTGATTGTCAGCAAATGTGTATCGATTTGTGTTTCAAGTTCGACAATTTTAGAACAAAGCTCATGATTTTCTTGTTTAAATCTGTCTACTTCAGCCAAAACTTGATCTAATTTCGAACTCATTATCGGATTTGATTCTGCTTGTATTTTTAATGATGAATTATCTTTTTTTAAATTCATTATTTCAGTCTGTAATCATAAATGAAAACGACATGAAAATATAAAAACTGAAAAAAATCTATGAAATTTATACCTTTAGTTTTTCATTCTCTTGTTCCAATAGATATTTACGTTTTTCAATTCGATGAAGATTGTCTTTAAAACTCGATGACTTGAATAAAGCAAAATTAATCATAAGTTTCAAATTTTAAAAAAAATCACCAAACAAACATACCTCATCACGACAAACTACATATTCTTCTTTGATTTTATCTTTTTCCGCTTCGAAATAATAAAGCTTTCTTTGTGTTTGACAAATTGTATCTAAAATAATATTATTAAAATTTAATTACAAAACAATATTCAAGCAAATAATTTGATTTACCTTGTAATTCGCGAACTTTTTTCGATGAGCTTACAAAAAATATCAACACTTTCATTAAGCACCAGAAAAAGCCGACGATCGATGTGAATATGATTGCATGTAATGAAATATTGAAACTTTCAAAGAAAAGTTCCACTTCATCCGGTATAATTTCCATGATGACGCTAACGAAACCAACTCTTTCGGCTAATAATTTCCTTTTGAAAATATTATTATTAACCGGCTGTTGATATTGTTCCGAATGAACAACTGGGTTCACTAATACACTTTGCGATACAACTGAATTATCAACAGGTGGCGCTTGTGGTATATTTCTATTTTCTACAAAAGGTTTATGTTTAGAGTTTAAAACACTGCCTTCTGCATGAAAATTCGACGATTGAGATTGATGATAATCAGAATGGGCATTAGAATTGGTTGAATAATCAATGGAACTAGGTTCCTGCATTTGTTTTTGATTGTCAGAATGATGTTGTTGTGATGAAGGTGGATTGTTTTGATCAACATTCACTGCACTTTTTAAATCATCAGCAGATTCTACATGAGGACGTTGAAGCAATTTTGGATGAAGATGTGTATTAACTTGCTGAGTATTGTCGGGAAGTGAATCGATTGTCGGTTTTACATTTTGTTCAATCAATTGATCATCATTGGTTTTAGAAAAGTCTGCATTTGGTGGAGATGGTGCTTGGTTAGAAACATTAGGATTTTCAGTGTTTGTTTGTTGATTATGATGATGATGGGCTGGAACGTGAACTTGTTGATGTAAATTATGTGGAATGTCTGCAGCTAATGGCTGTGAAGAAGACGGTAAATGTGGTGATATTGAATCAACATTATTATCATTAGCAGAGTCGTTTGAAACGATTGATGATTGAAATGATATCGAAGATTGATGAACATTTGTAATTTTTGGATTATTATTTTCTTCAACTCCTTCCAATGGTTTTGATTGTTGCTCCAAATCTGACGAATCTCTTTTTGTTCTGATATTTTCTTGTTGAGATTCAATATTATTTTGCTGATGATCACTATCAACACCAACGGGCAATTTTGATGCAGGTTCAACAGTTTGTTTTTGTGGCTCAATTGATTCAGAAATCAAGTTATTTGTTGAGTCAGCAGCTACCTTATCATCATCACTAATTTTATCATCCTTAAGATCACCTTCTTGTTCACTTGGATTTACTTTTTCCTCTTCTTGTTTTAATAAATTTTCATTTGGTGTTTCGATCATTATATTTTCAGCATCCACTTGTTTTAATACATCATCGGTTTTTGTCTGATTGTTTATGATTTGGTCCGTAATGATTGAAGATTCATCCATTTTCGATGGAACATCAGTTTCTTGTTTTGATGTTTCAACTTTTGTCGTCTCAGATTCAATATTTTCAACAGGATTTTCTTCAACTTCAAGATTTTCCTCTGTTAATGTGATATTGTTTTGTTGTTGATGAGTTGTCGAATCGTCATTAGTTTTAATAGAGTTGACATTATCATTATTGTTACTTTTTTCTTTTTCCTCCTTAACTACATCATCATTTGTATTGATAACGTTTTCTGTTTGATCTAAAGGTTCAGTATCAGTATTTTCTGATGAATCTTCACCTACAACAGTTACATCATCAATTGTATCGGCAGTAGTATCTTGAACAATTGGTTTACCCAATTGTTTCAATAATGATCCATGTTCTTTGTTTAGTTCACTTTCATTTTGATCGACAACTGTTTCTTTGTCAAGTTCATCGACATTAGTAAAATTTGCTTCAATTGTTGCAGTTTTAGTTACAGAGCTTTGGACAAATGTTGGTGATGGAGTGGCTGTTATTCCACCAAGAAGTTCTTCATCGATTGTCGTCCCATCGATGACGGTAACTTTTGGTGAATAAACAAATGGTGTTGCTGTATTTGATTGTTGCTGTATAGAATCATTGGGCACTTGATGAACATTGGAGGAACTCAATATAACCGAATCATTGATACGACCATTATTATTATCATGAACACCAGTAGCAGCAATGGAATTTATTGATTTTTCATATTCATCAAAATCAAATTTAACACCACTGAGTTTATTTTCTTCATAATGAATATTAATTTCTTTAATTAATTTTGCAGGCACAAATCCACGTTTTTTATTTACCTAAAAAACAAATTCATAGATGATTCAATGAAAATTGAACGAAAAAATCACATTTACCTCGGCAAAATAGTAAATTTTATCATCAGTTTTTCCAAATATTTTGACATTTAAATCTTTTTTAAATGATAGCAAATTTCTATCCGGTGATGGATATCGTATGGTGGTGATACCATCCGCGATAGGTTCTTTATAATAATGAAATATTAGAAAAAATTATAACATAACAATCAATATTTAATACGATACCTTTGCAATGATTATCGGCACATAATATTGATTGATAATTGGATAATTTACTTTTGGCCTCGGTTAAATTAGTCAACCAAAATGCAAAGATTAATATAAGATATGAAGATAGTTTGAAATGCCTCCGTAAAAACAATAACAAATGTTTCATGTTAACCATAACTTGGCTTATATGTAAAAAAAGAATTTATTTGAGAATTTTTCAATGGTTGGATATCATTTGTAGCAAATTTCAATGGTGATGATGATGATCAATAATAAATGGGTTCTTAATTTGATATGAGCATGTTCAACATCATTATCATTACGCGTACAAAGTTCAATATTATCAGCTGATTTCGATAAGAGCACAAATAAAATAAAAACAATATTAATATAATTAAAGAATGTAATGAATGAATAAATATTTCAATGCTAAATCTACTTTTCACACGTTGAATGTATACGAAAAAAAAGAGAATAGAATGACTACGACTTATTAGTTTGTTCTACTTTTTTGTTTCAAGTATGTAACGTAAATCTTCAAGATCAATCAATATACAAATATAAATGAGAGAATGAGTTACACATAAAAGTTTTTTTAATCCATTTTCGAATCGATGATGATGGTGATGATGAATTTAATCGAGAATAATAATTTAGAATTTTTTTTTTTATTTAACTCGAATAAAAATAATTGTAATTGTAAGTTGTATTATTTATTTATACAGCTTACGTGTCATATAACGCGGCAACAGACAACATATATATTTTTTTTACGTATTTATGATCATCGGCACGACGTATACAGCAGCGCATCGAAGCGTGAGTTTAGTGAAAAAGGAAAATCTTCGATTACCTCGTTTGCGAATAGGGTCGAGGATTCTTGAACGATGGAATTTTTTTTTTGAGCTGCTATGAAATGTTCTCGGTTAGAATTAATTATTATTATTATAAATAAACCTGAATTTTTTTTTATCAATAATTATTTAGTTTTTTCTTTAAATTTATTCTATTTGATCACAATCAACGATGTCATCGCATCGATGGAAACGTTTTTTCATTGAGGCTGGTTTACCTTCAGATGTAGCCGATAATTATGCTATAATATTCACTGAAAATCGTATACGATTTGATATGCTTGATGAATTGAATAAAGAGATATTGTATGATATGAAAATCAAAAAAATGGGAGATGTTATTTCGATTCTTAGACATGCCAAAGAAGTGTATACAAATTCATATCGAGAAAAAGTTTTCAGCACCGATGCTTGTGCTACAGATAAAGATAATTCACAAGGCACTTCTAAAACGGTTCATCAAGCTGATTCTACAATCACTTCGAATGTTGTCCCAAAACAATTAGATTCACGTGGTACAGCTTCGACAAGAATCGTCAAAGTTCCAAGTCCAACAAGAATTGTAAAAATTCCATCAAATCAATCGAATAATGTTCAAATTAAAAAAAGTAATCAAACGGCAAGAACTCAAATTCTTACCAAAACGAATGCAGTGTTTCCGAAAAGAAATTCATCTCCGACAATCATTCGTAATGTTACAGGATTAAATGCTATTATCCCCACACGAAAACGTATTGAACCACCATCCGATGATGATAATAGTGTTTCAACATCAGCACCGAAAATGATCAAAACAATATCGAATCCACAAATTCAAAACAAAATTGACACTCAAAGCCGTTTGAGAAAATTTTCTAGCCAAATTCAAAACGCTATAATATCAAATACTACCTCTAAGCCTTTACTACAACAGCCAATTCAAAATCGGCTAACCATTCATTCGCGATTGGATACCCGTAAAAATGATACTTTGTTCAGTAAAACCATCCAACAACGGCCAGATATCATGATAAAAAATTCACCATCAACATCAAGTATTAAAGGTAATGAAAATTTGATAACCAACTAATAACCAATATATTTATAGTAATCATTCTTATTGTAATAAATAGATCGTCTTGGAAAGAAACCTGTATTCGAACGAATCGAATCAAGATCACAACGTTCAATTTATAATAGATTAGGAACGAAATAATCATGACACTTTTTTTCTCACCCCCATTTTATTTGACAATTTATTTGAATGTAAAAACATGCTTAAATTAAATCATCTTATATAATAAGAACCACACATATATTTACAAACAAAAACGAGTACATTTTTCAAAAAAAAATACAACGAAAAACATTTTCAGTTTCGTTTCCATATCAAACTAAACCAAAGCCTTCGGATCCTTCGGTGATTGCTATTCTAAGTGAACGATCAAAATCTTCAAATGAATCATAATCCGGAAGACAAATTTGATTGAAACACGTATGTGCTGTCGGTAAGGTCCCATAAGTTAATGAGGATGTAATCTGAAAACGTGGATTCAATTCGGAAAATCCACCAGGCGGAAGTATTGAACATCCGGTGGTGAATTGTAAAAGACGTGCGAATTCTTCATCGGAAAAATTGGCCAAAGAACGCCAAAACCAATCGACTACCTTTTGGAAATCATAGATAGCTCCGGTTACGACATAATTAAGTCTTAGATCCGATAGAGAATATGTGCTTGCACCACATACCAAAAGCTCGACTTCATTTTCATCAAATATGCTCAATAAATTGTCCGGTATCAAATCGTTGAGTCCTTTAAGGAATGCTTCAATTTGGTCCTTAACTTTAGTCGATAAACGATATTGGGCCAATGCATCCAAATATCGAATCTTATTTGCTTCAGTCACTTGAATATTGGAACCATTCGGAATAAGGTCGACAATACGTTTAAGTTTTCCATTATTATCATATTCTTCATCACAGAAACATAAGTCCAGGGATGAGCAATCATTTTCCAAAATAAATTTAATCTTGCTTATATAAAGATCTGGATCATCCTGTTCGAAATAACGATAATTCACACGTAATCCAATCCATTGGGCCAAAAATGATCGACAAAAACGAGCATTAATCAAACATTTTCCATTCGAACCGAATGAAGAATCAAGTAAACTTTTTCCAACCAATCTTCCGGCAAATTCATACGCTGTTAATCTTCTACAATGAGGATTGGGGTGGATGAGTCCTTGTTTATCATTTTTAAAACGCATGAATAATGGTGCTTCAACCAGATTGTCGGAGCCTTCGATCAAACATGGTTTAGGATCGAACAAAGCTTTACATAGTAATGTATACCATTCTCGCCTAAGTCCACCCCAATCAATTCCATTTTCACCAATGAATTCAATTTCGAATTTTTTGCACCAATCACTTGGGGAACGAACTGCTTTCATCGAAGAATCTAATAAGCATTCACGGGATATTTTCAAATGAATTCGACCGGGTGTATAGTTATTCTTTTGATGATGGCGACGAACTTCCGAATAGAAAAAATCTTGTTTATCACGAAACGATTCACTACCACCAATACGATTCAAAAGAAAATGAGTAAATATAGCAACAATAATGTTACGATTAGAACTGACTAGTTCGATCGGTGTTTGAGATCCATCATCAATCATGATGAATTCTTCTGGATTGATAGAAGATTCCCATTGTACATTGACGATAGATGATTGCAAATCATAAGTACTCAATGATAACGGTGTTGATGGTGTCAATATGTTAGGGTTGCAAAGATTTTGATGGTTATTACGAGTGAAATAGAACTTGGTCGAAGGCAATAGCCTAAATGTGGCCAGTCGTTTTGGTATTATTTTAAGAAAGTATTGATTAATTTTTAGCTGTTTTGGCGATATGAAACAAACGACATTTTTTAATTTAATCGTTTTGTCATCAACCGTATAACTTTCTTTTGGACAAGATCGTGGCGGTAATAATCGAGCATTGAAATAACAACTTTTGGAGTGTAAAGTACATTTTTTCACTATTTCTGCTTCATTTTGTGTAAGACAAACAATATTAAAATCACCATTTTTCAACAAAGATCCTTTGTATGATACAAGAGCATGATATACACCGGATGATTCGAATGCGATAATGAGAGCGATTCGTGAATTATCGGAAATTTCTCTTCTCCAAAAATAGCAAGTATCGATTCTTCGTTCGGTCGATACTTCGGTAAAAACAACTTTAAAATCGGAACTTTCATCAAAATTTTTATTGATTTGACTATCAAGTAGACAGAGATTACCAAATCGATCTCTTGTTTCAATGATCAAAGCATGTAGATTTCTAGCAGTACAAACAACTGTTGAACAGTGATTAACGAATAATGTTTCCTATTGATAAACAAATAGATTAGATTAAAACAAAAAAAAATTTAATGAGTACATACATGAGGAGAAGGTGTTAATGGTTCGAAATATATATCGGTAAATGGTGAACCACGTAAATGGGTGAACGTATTTCCAACCAGAATATTTATCGTATAATTGCCAGATTTTTTTGGTGAAAAAGTGACACGAGCGACATTCGCCAATGATGGATTTAAATCACCAAATTCGATGGAACAAGGCACAACTTGTGAACCATTCGTTATGTGTACCGAAACTCGATCATCAGCAGTTATTGGATATGGCTTATGATTACGTTGATAAAACTAGAATTTTAATAATATTGTAAAAAAATAAAATATTGTTGATTGTAATCAAAATACAAACTTTGATTATGAATGTAGCTAAATTGGAGACGGTAGTCGGTGATTGCCAATCAAATATCACTTTACAATTCTGTGGTGCCAAATAACTGCCAGTAATGAATGTGAGAAAACCAGATTTACCTTCTTTGTAACTGAATTGTAGATTCGAGATCATTTTCAATATGATCAAAGGAATCACAACATATAAAACTATAAAATAAAAATTTAAAATAATGTCATCTATTAAGGATATACTTACCAAATTTAACTACAAATTCGGATAAATCTTCATACATTTTCGGCGATTGTCGGTGGTTATGTCATGAAAAAAATAGATGCGAAGAATGAAAAAAAAACAAAATTAATATATTTACGTAAACATATGACAAAATGTTGGAAAAAAAATTAACAACGTGAAACTTGTAACACACGTATATAATTCGTATATTTCATTAAAATTATTGTTTTTCTTCGTTTGATTATAATCAAAATATCACAGATAGAATTGTAATTTGTAAATTAAATCAAAGTTTGAAAAAAAAATTCAAAAATGAACAATGTATAATAACGGTACACGGCGTAAATACATTCAAGTGTATGATGATCATAACAAATGATGAACGATTACAATCGATGATGATAGATAGCTAAAATCGATACCGAATCTGTGTGTGTGTGTGTGTATGTTCATACTTTGAAAGTGACATGATGGAAAAAAATTCAAAAAATTGCACATGCGTATTGGAATTCTTTACGTAATTCTATAGCAGCAGTATTTTTTTTTCAACAATGTAAATATACAATAGGATCAAACAAGCCAAAAGAAATGCATAAAACGCATGCGTAATTTAGTTATTGTTCATTCATTCATTCATTTTTTTTGTAAAACAAAAACTTTTTTGGAAAAAGTATCAAAATTGCCAGTTTCATACAATGCTGCACTAGTTGTAGCTATACTGCTGCCACTTATATTGTTGCCGTTGGTTATGCTGCTCAACATAATTCTGCTCAAAGCCGTATACCTCCATGTTTGACTGGCGCTTTTTCCAACCGACATCAATCTGACCATAGCCGACAAATTAAAAAAAAAAATACGGCTAAACACAACGGAATTTTCATTATTATTATTCGAAATTCTATAATCCGGTAAAATCATCTGTATTTGGTATGTTTTAATATTTGATTTCAAAAATCATTGATCTTTTCTCTTTGTTTATATTGATTATTATATTATATTTTCCATATAATTAGGTTTCGAAATTTGTCAGCGAATCTATTTTATTTCATTCACAACAATCACATTACTATCGAACCAAAAATCATTTATAATTTTCATACGAATTGACCATTTCATTTGATTTATCATCATCGATTTATAATCATAAACATTTCTTTTGTTTGATTGGTATTGAAATTATAGAAAATCATAATAATAAAGATGGCCGAACTAACATCGACAAGTGATAGTAAATATAAATTGGACGATTTGGTATGGGCTAAAGTGAAAGGTTTCAATTATTGGCCAGCCATAATCGTGCCTGATGATCAGGTCAAAAATAATCGTAAAATCAAGAATGCTTATTCAGTACGTTTTTTCGGATCGGAAGATTTTGGTCGAGTTACCGAAGACAATATTAAACCATATGAAGAGTTCCGTGAACAATTCACTAGTGGGCCAAAAAAATCAAAATTATTTAAAATTGCTTGTGAAAAAATCGAAGAACAATGGGTGAAACAGAAAGGAACTTCTGCTATTACAAATGTTACTTCAACTACTCCAGATAATAGTAAATTTACCACTGATGTTTTCAAGGCGAAAAAAATTACGATGAATAGTCCATCACCATTGACACGAGATTATAGCCGTACACCGTTTAAAAGAGAGAAACGTAATTTTGACAATTCTAATGAAACGGAAACTGTGGTCACTTCGGTCAAAAAGCCTGCTACACCAGTAAAGGCTACTACGGCTCCTGCTGCTTCTGTTTCTCATGATGCATCTAAACGAATGAAACCGGCCGTACAATCATCATCATCACCAGTTCATGAAACTGATAGTCCGCTCAAAGCTGAACCAAGAATAACAACAACAAATGCAAAACAAACAAATGTCGTTTCAGAAATGAAATTAGTGAACAAATCTAATAGATCAAAACCATCAAGCTTAAAATTTGGTTTTATTGGACTTGGTAAAGTTGGCCAAAGTTTAGCCAAATTGCTTATCGATTCTGGCCATGAACTAACCATCTGGGATCGTACACCAAATAAATGTAAAGATTTCGAAAAACTTGGAGCCAATTCCGTTAAAACACCAGGTGACGTTGTACGTGAATCTGATATAACATTTTCATGTTTAAATGATTCAAGTGCATCACAATCAATATTTTTTGGAAATTGTGGTATTTCTGGTGAAATTGACGCTACCAAAGGCTATGTCGAATTGACATCAATGGACTATACGATTTCGGTGGAAATTGATAATTGGATCAAATCCAAAGGTGGGCGATATTTGGAAGCACCGTTGCTTTTATCATCACTTCCTGAACAAATTGAACAGGGCGAAATGATGGCCTTGGTTGCTGGCAATCGTTCATTATTCGATGATTGTAGTTCATGTTTCGAAACATTTAGCTCACATGTATATTTTCTAAGCGAAAATGTCGGTGTTGCATCGAAAATGAATGTCACGATGTCCATTTATTATGCCAGTCAAGTTGCAGCCCTAATGGAATGTACGACATTAATTGAAAGACTTGGATTAATCAATAAAGATTTTATTGATATCATTACGAAATCGCCATTAAATTCATCATGGATTGAAAATAATTCATCATCATTGATCGATATGACATTGATCCGTGATATACCAATGGATCATATACGTCGTGACCTAAGCTATTGTCTACGAGATGCAAATCGTCGTTCATTTCCAACACCAATGACATCCACGGTGAATGAAGTTTTAAAACAAAAGAAACATTTCTATTAGCATATAGAATTTTTGGTGTTTTCTTTTTTTTTACAGAAACAATAATACAAAATATATAAATTAAAAACAATATAAACATCAAAATCATCATCATTTATATACACAGATTCATCATTCACACAACACATTTTAATCATTCACACAAAATACCCCACATCACACAAATATTAATGATTTCATATTTTTTTTCTTCATCATATTTTGTCATAAAATCCGTACATTTGACAATTTCATTCTTGAATTTCATTAATGAAAAAATGAATTAATGATTGTATTTTTTTTTTTAATTCTGGATCAAAAAAATATTTATTTATTTTATTCACTTGATTCGAGCTGAAAAATTTAAAGTTGAATTCATGAATTATTTTATAATATATATATATAAAAAAAATTTGCATTGTACTTTTATGCTAATGATGATCCAGGAGTTTTACAAATCTGGTATTTCCAACAACAATCAACATACATACTCAATACATATATTACAATGATTTGATCGGATAGGTTCAAAATTCATTCATTTGTTTTTTTTTGCCGATCTGTCCTTTTTACCAAAATTCAAAATGTAAATTCATTTTTTTGTCTCTTTTTTTTGCATCATAGATATTCTCATCATCATTATCATCATCATCATTTGTGTCAAAAATTTAGGAATTTCATTTTTTCGATTACATTCAATAACATCAATAACAATAATAATAATAAACATCGAATAAAAAAAAATTTCCATTCGATTTTTTTGATATCGATATAATTATGTTTCAAGCATTTGGAACTAAATATTGTCTTTTTTTCGAATAAAAATGTTGATAAACAACAAATATGGATGCGTCATTTCATGTTGAAAATAATTTTTAGATCGAATTTTTTTTTTGACGTCTGAATATTAATCATTATTTCTATAATACAAAAAATCGGAATCGATCCAAAGAGCTGTTGTTGTTCCCTTTTTGTCGTTTCATTTCTTTCCAACCATTAAATGTTGAACGATTGTTTGATTTTCAAATATCATTATATATTGATTGTACACATCTTGGCAAATTAACTAAATTGATGATGATGATGATGATGATAATAAATGAATTAACCCGTCAGCAGAATTGACAAAAATGCTATTGTTGGATTGAATGTTTTTTTTTCATTGTAACACAAACAATTCAATTCTTTCATTCACATTTGATTTGTGAAATGTACATTGAAAAATTGGGTCAAAATAGATTCTTATAAGTGTTTTGTATGAATGAATGGAAAAAAATTTCTTCTTTTTTTATTATTAAATAAATAAATAAATAAATTAGATTCTATTCATTCGAGAATCATGATAAAATCATTTTGCTCGAAGGGCTACTATTTTTTTTCTTTAATTGAATTGAATCTGGGTTTAATTGTTGTTGTTGTTGTTGTTGTCAAATGATTTTTGTCAGAATCATAATAATGAAAAAAATCGAGCATCTATAGAAAAAAAACGAAAATCTCAACAATAAATGTGATTGAAAAATCGTTATGTGTGTGATTTGGCAAAAGCTATAATTTGATTATACATATACATTATATATATGATGTTTGTATTCAACATAGAGAAAAAAAATTCCAGATGTCCCTGAATCAAGTAATAAATGTGGGTGCAACGAAAAAAAAAACATTCCAAATGATAATGTAATAGAATCACCTTTCTTATGATTCTTTTTGCAAATAACCAAAAAAAAAAAAACGAAACGAAATTCTACATCTCAATCTCTTATTATATTTCATTCATTTAGTTGAATTTTTTTCCTTCATATCTCAGTTACCTACCGGTAGTTATATGATAATAGTAATAAAATAGAAATCTTACACTCACACACACACACACACATAAATGGATAGATAGATAGAAACCATTAAGGTATGCACTTTTTATTCTTCATTTTTTTCTGATTCACTTTATCATTATTAAATTAGCAAAAAAAAAGAATGAATACCATATGATACATATAAAGATATATACATGGACAATGAATGTTCAATGACAGAATATTCTACATTGCAAACCGTGTAGTCAAAAAATCGGTTTTCGTTGATTTTGTTCTTTATTCTCACATTGGTAAATGATGAAGAGAGAGAGAGAGACATAAGGAAAAAAATACTATTTCCATGTTCGATGATGGTGCGACATATAGTGGGAACATCACTTGAATAAAATATCATCCAGAAAAAAGAAAAAAAAAGGAATTTTTATTCGCGAAATTCTTGTCGTATTATTATCATTATCATCATTATTATTATTATTATCTTACCCATCTGGAATAAAGTGCCGTACCGAATAGCATTCATCCATAGTATGGAGAAAGTGTGAGAGAAAAAAAAGAGTATCATCAGTGTTTTTTTCCACACACACACAAACATCACACTTCTAAGTCCTTCTTTGCCCTTTCTTTCACACGATCATTCGCTGCTGCTGCATACATGATGATGTCCAAATGTGCAAAAAAAAAAAGAAATAGAATTCAATCTACATTTTCAACTTGAATTTGATCCATTCTAGATATCTTGTCGGCATTTGTGTATGTGTTTTGTTTATTTATTCACAGAATATCCAAGCAAATAGTCATGTAGAAAAAAAATTCACACAAACAAACACACACACACAGATAATATTCTTACTCATTTGTTCATTGTGTTGTTGAATCCTTGTGTGTGTTTTTTTTCATTTCGTTTGTTTGCTCAAATATTCTTGCATAGTATTAAAAGTAATCATGAAACAAAAATTGTTCCAAATAAACAAATGGAAATTCGGGATTGAATATTCTTAACAGCAATGAAAAAAGCCAGGGATGAGAAGCAGAAATTTGTCACACATGACACATATATATGAACATGTTGTCTCTATAGATGTGTGAAGAAAACAAAAACAAAACAAAAAACATTTCTTTTATCACAAAAACACATATACCAGACAAATGAACTTGTATAACAATTTTTTTTGTCGCAACTTTTTTTTTCTTCTTAGGAAGGTGATGATGATAGCATGGAAAAAAAAGAATTGCCTTCAAGGTGATTCAATTTTCTTTTCTTCTCATTATTTTCTCTACTGATTCTTTATTCTATCTCTTACACACACACACACACACACATATACACACAACGTAAGTGTTTGTTAAGAATTCCAACTCTAATTTAAAATCTTTTCCCATTGCTTCAGTTAAATAATTGACGATGATGATGATGCAGATATTTGAAATTTCATTTCAACATTCATTCTGTGTTTGTATGTGTGTGTGTGTGTGTGTGTAATAGAAGATAATAAATTTTTAATTTTCTGCGCCCAAAAATATAATACCAGGTAAATTGTTATTACATCCGAATATTATATGGAAAATTGAACAACTACCATAAATCCAGTAAAAAAAGGTAGTAGCTATTTTTATCCCATTATCATTTTCATCGTTTGTTTGTGTTTATATGTGTGTACCAAGAAAGAAAAACACTTTATTTCCGATTTGATAACAATAACATGTGATTTTTTTTATTTGGTTGAAAAAAAAATTTTTTAAAAGCCAAAAAAAAAAAAATAATCTCAAAATGTCAATATTACACTGATTCTGTCGTTGTAGTTGTTATTGTTGCAACTTAATAATCAGATTATTATTATTGTTACGAATGTTACCGTTAGCGAATGTCCGAATGTTCTGAATTTAATAACTTTTAATCGTTTTTGATTTAACTGAATTGATTGAAATCGAACAAATAAATAAAGAATGTTTCAGAGAATTTTTTTTCCATTTTCTGTTCAAATACAAACAACAATCATTAGGTAATGATCGATACAAGTCAAACAGGTAAATTGGATCAATCATTTGTTTGCCAATAATAATAATAATAATAATAAAAAGAAACAGAAAAACTTTTATTTCCAGAAGACATGGCCTGTTTTTACAACAAATAAAAAAAAATAAAACGAAAAAAAAGTAAGCAAAGCAGAAATAAAAATTATTACTCTCCAGAGATATATATGATGACATTACCATTATATTATTACTTTCGTGATACCATTATTAATATTATGAAATAGTCATTTTTCTCAACGGGAATGCTGAATCATTGTATATCACACACACACTTCAGACAGATATAAGCTATTTAATGGGCACCAATATAATTACAATGAGAGTAAATTGTTTGAAAGAAAAATAACTTTAACCAAATCAAATGTATATTAAACAAAAGATATATATCAAGATTGTCAAAGGTTAACTTGTGTAAGAATTTCTCATTATCATCATCATTAACATCATTATCAAATTCAAATTTAGCTTCAAAAAAACTTGAATCATAATTATGTGAAAAATTCGTGGAAATTTTTAATTTTAAACAATTCAATTTTATTTATATTTGTTTGTATACAGAATCTGTCTGTCTGCCTATCTGCCTGTCATTCAACTACAACAGCTAGCCCGTAGTTAATTTCACTTTTAAATTTTTCCACCCTCTCTCTTTCCCTATTTTTTTTGTTGTTTTCAAAATTGTAATTTAAAACAAAATAAATTCATTCAAATGAAAGGGGTTTTTTTCCCGTACAGGAAAAAAAATCCCTTTAATGAACCATCTGTTATGAATTGAATATTCACAAATGCTAGACAAACAAATAACCATCACAAATTTTTAGACAACAAAAAAAATGCTACAAATGAGTGGATTTTTATTTGCATTTCATACAATATAATAATCATGTTAATGTTAATTTTATTTTCTCTTTCAAAATTTTCAAACTTATTTGGATACAATTTGTAAATTGAATGAAAAACAAAGCCAACCAATCAACTAAATTATCAAACCATATTAGTTTTCAATTCATAATGACGAGAAAAAAAATCAATATTCCATCATATGAATAAAGTGAATAATTGCTTCATATCAATTCAACAAAAAAAGCCAATGAGCCAAATAATTGTTGTTGTTAGTAACCACAACACGTAATACAACCACTGACAATAATAGACCCAATATTATAATAATCATGATCATAGATAGATGATTGGTATCCAAAAAAAAAAAAAAAAAGATTCCGGAACACATTTTTATAAATCGAGAACAAGAATACACTATACACAAACATACATGAACATGAACATTAAGAACAATGTTAATCAAACCAAAAAAAAGAAAAAGAAAAAGAATTCGCATGAAAAAGATTGATTGAGATGGATGGATTATTATTATGGTCTGTTGTGGCTGTGTATAAAAAAAAATTGTTACGGTATTGTTACACAAAACAAAAAACTATAGAAGCAAATTGAATATTTTTTTCGT